AAAAAAATCACAAAATTGACTTTTCAGTGAAAATATCAAAAAATTGAATATTCTCCCCCCACCCCCCAAAAAATAAAAATAAACAAAGCACTAGTTTCAGGGCTGACCTTCACACAAACTTCCAGCAAGAGAACCACAGTGATTTAATTCACACCCTCACCACCCTAAGGCAGATCAAATAGAACAGTGTTAACTGGAAGTCAAGAGAATCCACGCAGAGACTGGCACTGAAATGTGAAAGGTTTAAAATCAGTTAGTGATTTGGGTTCGAACCCACAGCTGAGCATTGGTTTTTCTGTAGGAACTGTGCTTCTTCACCACTTAGCACCACAGGACCACACAGGTGTTTTGAAAAATCTGGGCTCAAATCCTTGCTCTGCCTTGGAGTCTCTGACAAATTGAAATGACGTAGTTGAGTTATGTTGGTGATGGGGAAGCTATAAGAACCTAGATCTTCTGAATGAACTAATAATTTGTGATATGCTGCTGCACATTACTTTCTCTGCAGTTGTGTATCTATTGTTTCCACTTATTTCTTTGTTTAACTTGTTTATTCCACCTCATGCTTGTTCTGTTTTATTGAAGGTTTATTTTTGCTTATTTTATTGATTTAGGAGGAAAAAGCCGTCACCTCCTGCATTCTGAATCTCCCACTATAAACCTGTAATGACCACTTACATTTCTGACACAAACCCATTTCATTCAATTTTACCGTATTTATCTGTAGTTGCACTTTTCAAGATTATTTACCACAGAGCCAGATTGCCAGCTCATTCCAATTGGTGTAGCTCCATTGACATTCGTGGGCCAAAACCCCAAATGGAATAAATTGTTCATCGCTCCATTGGAATCAATGGGACCAGAATCCCAGCTGCTGTAAATCAACATCTCTCCATGGGAGTCAATGGGGCCAGATTCCCAGCTGGCATAAACCAGTTTAGTTCCATCAAAGCCAGTGGGGCTATGTTTATTTATACCAGCTGAGAATCTGTACCCTGGGGTGTACATCTCTGTAAATGGCTCTGGCATGTCAGTGTGGGGACACATTTGTTACTTATATTAATATTACTATTATAGCATTTCGAGGCCACAGTCAGAGATCAGACCTTCATGGTGCTAGGTGTCACATGCATCCCTAAGAAAACGAAGATCAATGCCCCAAAGAGAGGACAATGTGAGGATGAGATTTTCAGAGCAGCTTAGGGCTACGTATTCTCAGTACCCATCAGAAACCTACAGGAACGGGATGTCCAAATTCCCTGGGAAACTCGGAATATCCCACAACAGGTGGATACCAGGAACACAAGTGTTCAGAATGTAGCAGTGAAATAATGCTGCTGCTTATTAGTGTAATAAGCGGATGTTGCCACACACCAGGAGGAAATCCACTTCTCCTTTTTGAATGACTCTGAAAGAGGTTTCTCTCACCGTGCCTCTGGCACAGTAATAAACGGCCGTGTCTTCAGCTTTGAGGCTGTTCACTTGCAGAAAGGCTGTGCTGAGGGATGTGTCCAGGGTCATTGTGACTTTCCCCTTAAAACTATCCGCATAAGTAGGCTCCCCTGTATTTGTGTTAGTCCATCCTATGTAAACCAGCCCTTTCCCGGGAGCCTGTCGAACCCAGCTGATTGCATAGCTAGTGAATGTATAACCAGATCCTTTACAGGACATCTTCACAGACTCCCCCAGTTTCTTCACCTCTGCCCCAGACTGGACCAGCTGGATTTGAGCCTTTACCCCTGTGGAGAAAGAAGAAGCAGGGTGAGAATTCTTGTGTCTAGTTCTGTTTTTCCCCTTCCTTGTCCCAGTGAAATTCACCTACCTGGGAGAGCTGCCAACAAGAGAAGAAAACTGAACCAACATGTCATGGTTATTCTTCTCCACGACCCTACAGTAGCAAAACACTGTGACTCCTTTTGCTGCAAAGAGCATCCACTGAGGACCAGTCACCGTCTTTTAAAAAGGAAGAAATTTCTTCTTTATTTGCATATGCAGATCACACCACCCTCAAAAAGTACACAACCCGCAAGCCAGGAGGAGTAAGGCTGGTAACTTGCATGATAGACTCAAAGAGTCCAAGTAATGAAGTATGCCAGAGATTTATCTCTTAGCTACTTATATGGCTGCATTGCTGTGGTGTGTGAGCACCTCACAGTCTGTAGTGTATTTATCCTCACTACGTACCAGTGCGATAGGAAGTTTCATCCCAGTTTTACACATGAGGCATTGAGAGATTAAGAGCTAGTTTTCAAAAGATATTTGGGTGCCTACGGAAGCAGATAGGTGCCTAGTGGGATTTTCGAAAGGGCAGACAAATAACTCTAATAGAAATCACTTCTGAAAACTTGACTACGTGTCTATCGGCATCTTTAGGTGCCTTAAGACTTTTAAACATCTGGCCCCACTGAACTTCCTTGCAGTCACGTAGGAAGCCTGTGGCAGACATCCTGTCTTCTAAATCCTGGGCTAACATGTTAATATCAGGAGCATTCTTCCTGTCTGACCTGCAAAGACTAACGCGTGTGTCAACTTTGTTTTTAGCTTTATATACATAGGCGCATCTCTTGCCCAAGTAGAATTCAACTTTGTGTACATGAGTAACCCTATTGACTTCAATGGGAATCCTTACGTGAGTAAATTTCAGTATGTGCCAAAGTGGTTGAATGTTTGGGGCCTACGAATGAATTTTCAAATTTTAATTTAAACCTAAAATCTATTTTTCACAATCATTGACATAAAGTCTCCCTTTCTTCTTCAAACAACTGAAGAGCTCATCAAAATAATTCCAAACTGCACAATGTCAATGAACTTTTGAATTCCAGCATTATAAAATCTGGAAAATAAAACCTAAAAAATTATACTTTTCCTTCCCAGCTGTTTCTTGACAAACTCTGCTACTAACACACGTTGTACAGAAAGATAATCACCACACTGCTCAGTAAATACTTCCCTCTTGGGAAAGCCAACATGACATAAGAAATGAACACCAACTGCATATTTTCTCCTGGGAGTAGAACCAGGGAATGGGAAGCCTGTATTTAAATGTTCTAGGAATGCCTCTCATAAAACCAATAGCTTGGTTTTAAGCAAAAACTTCCATACTCTGATGGGCATTAAAGTTTCCCTTTCCATAAAAAAAGATATAATAGAGCCTGAAATAAGGATCTTTTTCTATAGAGTGAACTCTGACTAGGAAAGAACTCCCCTGCATATCAGGGCTAATTACTGCTATGGATATAACTCCAGTTAATTATACTGGGATGTGCAAAGGAGCCGAAGGCAGTTAGATGCCTGACTTGTATTGAATTCTCATGGAATTTTATCAGCTCACTCCCTAGCCAGTTTGAAATCCCCAGACATAACACTAACTCCTGTAGGACCTGATCCATAGGGAAATGAAGTAAGTGGAAAGACTCCCATTGACTTCAGTTTGTTTTGGATCAGTCCCATATTTCAGTTTAATCTCTTCTTCTCAAAGGAAAGTAAATGTCAGTGTCTGCATGGTATAGGGGGGGAAACTGAGGCACTGAAACACTGCAGTGAGTTGCCCAGAGTCACTGTCAGGGACAAGAATTTTATTATTACCACTGATCATTAATTATTTGTATTAAGGTGTTGTGTAGGAGCCCAGTCAGGGATCAGGGACCCATTCCCCAGTCACTGCACAAAGACAAAGCAGGAATAAATACAGGATCTGCTAGGTCCCAGTCCGGTGCTCTAGCCACTGAATCAAGAGGCCTGGTTTCGGTTGAATGGTAACAGTACTTAGCTCACAGATCATATTTTTTCTTCTGGAGACTATAAAATGCTTTACAAAGGAAGTGAAGCCAAAGGGGGCACCGATATTAACATATTTTGTTAAGTGTTTAGCAATTCAAATTTCCAAGCACACAAAAAGGGACTAGATGGGTTTGTGGTTAAAGCCCTGGAGTCAGGGCTGGTCTGTTCACCAATTTACAGCAAAATAATGACATCCTCTGTTGAATTCACACCTTCCAAAAGTGCAGTAAGATTGAAGCAGGACACACTTTGAATTGGGAATGCGGGATCCAAGTGCAGACGGGCACTGAAATCATAAAGGTTTAAAATCAGCGTAGGGGTTGAGGTGAAGGTTCCTGGTGAGATTTAACTTGTAATGAGATGTGTATGCTCCTAAATCACTCAGGATCATGGGACCAATCGTGAAAATCCCAGTAAGGGCCAATCTGCCTCCTCTGGGGCTTGATCCACAACAGGGCGTCAGGCTGAGGCCTGGAGTTGCAAGTGTTCTCCCGCTGGTTTTTGAATGTTATGATTCCTGATGTCAGAGTCAAAAACCAGTCAGAGAACACTTCAGTCTCCCTGGACACTCAATAACAGACCTAAAACTGGCAATTTTTCAACAACAAAAACTTCAAAACCAGACTCCAACATAAAGCTGCAGAACTGGAATTAATTTGCAAATTGGACACCATCAGATTAGGCCTGAATAAAGACTGGGAGTGGTTGGGTCATTACAAAACCTAAACTTAATTTCCCCAATACTAATGTCCCCCTACTGTTACTCACGCCTTCTTGTCAACTGTCTGTAATGGGCCACTCTCTTACCACTTCAAAAGTTATTTTTTCTCCCTTGGTATCCTGCTGTCAATTGAATTGTCTCCTTAGACTGATCTCACACTTGGTAAGGCAACTCCCATCTTTTCATGTATTTATACCTGCTCCTGTATCTTCCACTCCATGCATGAAGTGTGATCTAGCCCACGAAAGCTTGTGCCCAAATCAATGTGTTAGTCTCTAGGGTGCCACAAGGACTCCTCGTTGTTTTGGTACATTTTTTGTTTCTTTGTTTTTTATTGTGGGGTTTGCCATTGTGGCTGTCACTCTGGTCCTGGTGTGAAAGCTTTATTAAAGAAGGCGTTGCAACATGAAGTAAGGGTCATCACAGTGGGGTAGTCAGATCCCGTCTGGAAGTTTGCTCCCCCGCCTGATCCTCCTTCACCAAGAATGCTGCCTTGACTCTAATAAGTGGAACAAGCTGTACATGAATGTATCACTTTCTGTGGTTTAGATTAAAAGCAGTTGCCCTTTCGTTATCTTTCTAACCTCCTTCCTTCGGAGCATCTAAGGATACAACCCGCTCCACCTTCAGAAACTACAGCGGTTGGTTTATGTACAGTAACTCAGTTATCTTCAACCACTGTGGTACGTAGTATACACAGTGATAAACAGTGTTACAAAAACCTCTCAGACTCCACTCTACCACCACATGACGCAATCGCGCATTCTCAAACACCAGGCTTACCACCCCCCCAGCTAGTCAGTAATTGCCCTGCCAAAATACTGTGCTTTTAAACTGAAAATAGAAGTTCCATAGTTACTTCTTCGAAAGATTAAGAGCCTGACCCCCCAGCAGGTGTAAATCAATGTTGCTCCATTCAGGTCAGTGGATAGCTGTCAATTTACATTGGCTGGGGATCTGACCCTAACTTTCCTTATTTATTTTTAAGAGACATTTATAGAGGACTAGGCTGATATTTTCAAAGAAGGCTAGGGGAGTTAATCACCCAAATTACATTGACTTTCAATGAAAAGTTTGTCCACGACTTCCTTCAGCTGCTTTGGAAGTCTAACCCTTAATATACTGTGAATTTTCTTTAAAATATATCTTATCTCTCTCTCCAAACATAAAGAACAGGAGTACTTGTGGCACCTTAGAGACTAACAAATTTATTTGAGCATAAGCTTTCGTGGGCTACATCCCACTTCTTCGGATGCATAGAATGGTGCCTCCAAACATAGGCACCTTTTGAAAGGTAGGGACCCAGACCTTATTGAAATCCTTTAAGATCCTTTGAAAATCTTAATTTGGGGCTCAAATGTTCAAAGTTGCCATAGACATTTGGGAGCCATAAAACAAACTTTTACCAGCACTCTTCTAGGGCAGCACAAAGAATGAGTCTGTGACTCAAGAACTCTTTTGAGAGTTTAAAAGTTTAAAATGTGGTTATTTGTGTCTAATAATAATAAAATAATAATAATAATAAAATCTACCTCTTATATAATGCTTTTTCTTGTGTAGATCTCAAAATTATTGAACAAGGAGGTCAGTATGTCGTACCCATTTTACAGATGGGGAAACTGAGAAACAGATAAAGACATGACTCCTGCTGGGTTGGTGGTTATTTCTATGATTCATTATTTGCTTGGTGTTGGAGTGTTTGGCTGATTGATCAGTTGGGGTTTTATTTGATTAATTACATGTTAGGGGGTGTCATGCTGTCTGCGGTGGCTCACAACCATGAGTACCCACCTCAGCACAGACTGTCAGAAGCAGGGTGGGCAGCCCGACTGGTGGTATATTCTATAATTAAATTTCACCAACCCAGTAATAAATGTGAACTCCCAAAGTACAATAATGGAGTCACAGATAGTCCCCTTAGACACTCCAGTCTCTCTTGCACCCAGTCAAGCTGAACTATGTGATCAATGGTCACTAACACCAAAAATCATAAAACATCGGGTTACACCCAGGCCCAGAGACCAGTCACTCAGCCAGGTTGATCTCACACCAAAGACAATGCTGGACGCCAATTCTATAGTAAAGTAACTGAAGGCTTATAAGCTAGGACAAAGGAATGAGAGTTACTGAGAGGTTAAAGCAGATAAAAAATCTATGTACAGGTGAGTCATGATCTGTGATTCCAAATGGTAGCAGAGATGTAGTAATTTGCCAGTTTCCAAAAAAATCTCTCAGGGCTGCCCAGAATAACTCTGGGGTTCTCCATCTTCTCATTAGAATCCAAACAGTCCAGAGGTGAAGAATTTTTCCTTGTGTCCATACTTACAGCTTCTTCTCACAGAATACAAGCTGGCCGGGGTCCCCACA